GCATTTGATCAGTTTCTTATTGTTAAATGTGCATCCTGTGTGGATTGCCCCCATATTGTCATTAAGTCACGAGTATTTTGGGCAGAGATGGATGGTGGTTAGTAGTGGAATACAGGACACAGATTTTGACCTATTTGGGACGCATCAGCTTGATGTACCTGCATCCCAGAGTTGATGTTCACTCCGAGATTCCGAAACTCAGTGGCTAAGTGGACGACGTGATGACGTTTGAAGCGAATGGCACTCACATTGAGTCCCAAGGTGAACCTCAATTCCAGGATCCCGGAACACACAGCTGACGAGTCCCAAACAGGTCGAAACCCGTGGCCTGGATTCCACTGTTAGCCACCATGCATATCTACTTATACAAACAAAAATAGATTATGTAAGATATTATCACCGCTAATAATAGCGGTGATATATGATTACGGAAATTTTAAATAATTAAAAACTCTGCTTTTGAAAACAATAGAAACTGTGTTAGATTTTATTAATGGAGGATTGATTCTATTATTATTATTATTAGTGGTGGTGGTAGTAGTAGTAAAAACCCAAACATTGCTTATTCATCGGTCATTGCAGAGCATCGTATAGTGATAATAATTCAAATGCATATTAGTTAATATATTGAATTCATTTATTATAAACTTTTTTTCTTGTCCCGTTCGATGTTTTTGATTGTTCCATTTATATGAATTTAAATATGAAAACACTTGGATATGTAGCAGACCAAAACTAAATGAAAATGGAATAATTTACATTTGATATAAGTATGTGAGTATGTGCTTGTGTATTTCTGTTTCGGTCAACAATAACAAAGGAATAAATATACATACATATAATTACTACCGGTGACCGGTATCATTGTTTTCTTTAAAAAAGATTTGACATTGTCAATTTCTCATCATGAAAACAATAGCATAATACTCCAATGCCTATGTAATACACATACGAAACAATTTTCATTACAAGATAACCACTTCACTTCATTCTCCCTCTCTCTCATTTCCCTCTCTTGCATACGCATAAACAGAGAAATCCAACTCATCTGTATATAGGATTTCCATTTTAACAAAGGAATTATCTTTTCAAAACAAAGCGCACTAAATTAAAAGATCAACTTTTTAAACAATTGTAAAGGAAACAAAAAAGATATATGAAAGAAAGGGATAGTTAACGTTATTTTGATTTATTGAGTATTAATGGGAAGAAATATTTAAGCCCTTAAGTAATTATTTCTAAGTTATAAAAATTAGAATTTTGATGATTAATGACAGAAAATTAACTCCGCCTGGAGCCCCTTTCCGGGGGCTACTGCCGGTCCCAAGCCCGGATAAAGGAGGAGGGTTGGGCATGGGATTAGCAACCCCATCCCGTAGAAAACTAACTCGCTAAAAAACGCTAATCAGAAAAAATTATTCAAACCATTTAAACTCTGCCCTGGGAGTCAGAAGGTCTTCGTTTAGAAGAATTATGACGCCTCACGATGAAAGCCGAGTTTCTTCGGAAGTCACGAGGCCGATGCCCCTTCTGACAACCAGAGCAACCATTTATTTAGGTACATGGAATGCTCGTACAATGTGGGAGACTGGGAGAGTCTTCCAAATTGCTGCAGAAATGAGGAGATACAATTTAGAGGTGCTTGGGATCAGTGAAACACATTGTATGCAAGTTGGACAACAACGACTAGCTTCAGGGGAGCTGCTGTTATACTCCGGAGATGAAGAAAAAATGCCCCACATACACAAGGAGTTGCATTGATGCTGTCCAAACAAGCACAAAATGCACTTATAGGATGGGAATCTCATGGACCAAGGATCATCAAAGCCTCCTTCAAGACAAAGAAAGAGAGCATTTCAATGAACGTCATCCAATGCTAAGCGCCTACCAACGACTACAATGGAGACGCTAAAGATCAATTCTACGATAGGCTGCAGTCAATCGTCGAGAAGTGCCCAACAAAAGACCTGACTATTCTAATGGGAGACCTAAATGCCAAGGTTGGAACTGACAACACCGGATATGAAGAGATCATGGGACGACACGGACTGGGAGAGAGGAACGAAAATGGTGAGAGATTTGCAAATCTATGTGCCTTCAATAAACTGGTCATAGGCGGGACTATATTCCCACATAAACGCATACACAAAACCACATGGACTTCACCGGATCACACCACACAGAACCAAATCGACCATATCTGCATCAACAAAAAGTTCAGGAGGACGATGGAGGACGTGAGAACAAAGAGAGGAGCTGATATAGCATCAGATCATCACTTGCTGGTCGCCAAGATGAAATTGAAACTCAAGAGGCACTGGACAACGGGGAGGACAATATCACAAAAATTTAATACGGCTCTTCTTCGGGATACTGACAAACTCAATAAATTCAAGATAACCCTCAGCAATAAGTTCCAAGCCTTTCATGATCTACTCAATGGAGAAGGAACTACTATGGAGAGCAACTGGAAAGAGATAAAAGAAGCAATCACTTCAACATGTCATGAGGTTCTGGGCCAAAAGAAGCACCATCACAAGGATTGGATCACGGTCGATACACTGGATAAGATTCAAGAAAGGAGGAACAAGAAAGCAGCAATCAATACCAGCCGAACAAGAGCAGAAAAAGTCAAGGCACAGGCTGAATACACAGAAGTAAACAAGCAAGTGAAAAGGAGCATCAGAACTGACAAACGTAAATATGTGGAGGATTTGGCATTGACGGTGGAAAAGGCTGCCAGAGAAGGAAACATGAGACAACTGTATGAAACAACAAAGAAACTCTCTGGAAATCACCGTAAACCAGAACGACCAGTGAAAAGCAAGGAAGGCAAGATAATCACCAACATTGAAGAACAACGAAACAGATGGGTAGAACACTTCAAAGAACTCTTGAATCGACCAGCCCCACTGAACCCACCCAACATCGAAGCAGCACTCACAGACCTCCCAATTGATGTTGGCGCACCAACAATTGAATAGATCAGCATGGCTATCAGACAAATCAAGTGTGGCAAAGCAGCAGGACTAGACAGCATTCCAGCAGAGGCACTGAAAGCAGACGTAGCGGCAACTGCAAGGATACTCCACATTCATTTCAGAAAGATCTGGGATGAGGAACAGGTACCAAAAGACTGGAAAGAAGGACTTCTAGTCAAAATACCAAAGAAAGGCGATCTCAGCAACTGTGATAACTACAGGGACATCACTATTCTTTCAATACCAGGAAAAGTCTTCAACAGGGTATTGTTGAACAGGATGAAGGACTCCGTAGACGCCCAACTTCGCGACCAACAGTCAAGATTCCGTAAGGATAGATCGTGTACAGACAAATCGTAACTCTATGGATCATTGTGGAACAATCAATTGAATGAAATTCATCACTCTATATCAACTTCATTGACTACGAAAAAGCATTTGATAGCATGGACAGAACAACCCTATGGAAGCTTCTTCGACACTACGGCGTGCCTCAGAAGATAGTCAATATCATACAGAATTCCTATGATGGATTAAACTGCAAAATCGTGCATGGAGGACAGTTGACAAAGTCGTTCGAAGTAAAGACTGGTGTTAGGCAAGGTTGCTTACTCTCACCCTTTCTCTTTCGCCTGGTGATCGACTGGATCATGAAGACATCAACATCTGAAGGGAAGCACGGGATACAGTGGATAGCTAGGATGCAATTGGATGATCTAGACTTCGCAGATGATCTGGCTCTTCTATCGCAAACGCAACAACAAATGCAGGAGAAGACAACCAGTGTAGCTGCAGCCTCAGCAGCAATAGGTCTCAATATACACAAAGGGAAAAGCAAGATTCTTCGATACAACACAACATGTACCAATCCAATCACAATTGACGGAGAAGCTTTGGAAGATGTAAAAACCTTTACATATTTGGGCAGTATCATCGATGAACACGGTGGATCTGATGCAGATGTGAAGGCGCGGATTGGCAAAGCAAGAGCAGCATATCTACAACTGAAGAATATCTGGAACTCAAAACAATTAGCAACCAACACCAAAGTCAGAATTTTCAATACAAATGTCAAGACAGTTCTACTGTATGGCGCGGAAACCTGGAGAACTACGAAATCCATCGTCCAAAAGATACAGGTGTTTATTAACAGTTGTCTACGCAAAATACTTCAGATCCGTTGGCCGGACACTATAAGCAACAACCTACTGTGGGAGAGAACAAATCAGATCGCAGTGGAGGAAGAAATCAGGAAGAAGCGCTGGAAGTGGATAGGACACACATTGAGGAAAACACCTAACTGCGTCACAAGACAAGCCCTCATATGGAATCCTCAAGGTCGAAGGAGGAGAGGAAGACCAAAGGACACATTACGCCGGGAAATGGAGATAGATATGAGAAAAATGAACAAGAATTGGATGGAACTAGAAAAGAAGGCCCAGGACAGAGTGGGTTGGAGAATGCTGGTCGGCGGCCTATGCTCCATTGGGAGTAACAGGCGTAAGTAAGTAAGTAAGTAAGTAAGTAAGTAATGACAGAAAATTAAGGTGATATAGTATTGCTGGAAAGGCTTACATCGTTACATTACATCGTTCATAATTCAATAGAACGTATAAGAAAAATAATGTCGAACTGTGTTTAAGTTGAAAGTGACATTTACATTTTTCATTCAACACTAAGTAAATTTCAGTGGTGAATTTCAAGAGTGATATATGACATAAACATAACATTTGATATCAAACGGTTTGTGACGACTGGTATAAAGCTTTAAACTTCATTTACATATCGACAAGTATTTATTATCAATATGCATATGCAATGTTTAGGGAAATAACCCACTTCCTTTTGGGCCCCAACCCGATTCATTCAATATCACAACCACTAAAAGGTTTGACTCGAAAATGATCTCCTGTAGGATTGAGATGATTAATGTAGTGAAACGGATGTGAACTTAATGTAGTGTAAAGAAAACAAAATATATGTATATTAAACCAACAGAGTACATAGTCCGAAACTTACACATCATCAACTTGCATATCTTTTAGAATTTGACAATAATCTACATTCCAAACAGCTTGGTCATCCCATACTTTACTAGCCAGTACTATAGCGCATAAAACTATTCTTTTCCAAGAACTTGGTGTTAATTCTGTCTCAGCACTAGTCAAAAGACGTTCCAAGTAAACCTATATAATAAATGAGATTTACAAAATTAAAATAGGCTTCACTGATTAGAATTATTTGTACATGGTGATCTTTAAAATTTAGCAAATATCTGCATCGAAAGCAATAACTAGGCGTCATGAAAAACGAACCACAAGTGTTAAACATTTTATAATACTGACGATAGAATGTTTTACAAATTTAAGGAAACAAACAGAAACTTAAGTGTTTTACAAGTTCAGTAATCATTCTTGGACGTGATTACGACATGAAGAGCCCAATCAAACTTAACTGTCATTTCCACGTTACTTACTACATTGATCAGTAAATTTCCTTTTGAGCTTCGAGTGTTGAGTGTATGATAAGGGGACAGCAAATGATAACCAGTATCATTGGCGACATCACTTTGTCGAAAAGAAGTAAAATAACCATAAATGCAAAAATAGTATACTCTATTCATCCACAGATAGTGGTCACCAACGTAAAATGGCTATCACATGGGCTTTGAACAAACCAACAAAATGAGTCCGTATTCTTCAAATTTCATAATAACATACTTTCATAGCACATCAATCGTCGATATACTTCCAGCAGCACATGAGTACATTTTATCATCCTTCTATACTTTTTCATATTTCCTAGATTTTTATCTCTTTTGATTAACGGAAATTTCTCATTAATAAAATCTCCTCGTGGATGTATAAGTTGTTGTAACCTTACGAAATGTGTTTTAAAATCTCATGATCCAGCGACATGCACTGTGTTTTTCTTAATCCCATATACAGGATATCAGCCTAGTTTTCCACATGAATTTAAATAGTTAACGTTATGAACATACATGATTTACTCTTCAAACACCTAGAGAACAGATAACAAATCATGGTTTCATGCAATCAGTTCCCTTTATGAATTTAAATAAAGCAAGAACAAATATTGATGTCAATTGTTTCACACTATTTCTTTTTTCAATGTAAAATTCTAATACATATTTGGTTGTAAGCAGCTGACGAGAAACCTCGAAATATTATGAATTCATACTATTCCGCATCAATATTTGTTCTTTATTTGAAATCATGGTTTAACATACGTACAGCATTAAGTTGGAAAGTGGAACTATCAGTAGTCGAATTTAAAATGTTTCAACCGATAAGCTTTGTTGCCCTGATTAAGTACTTCATTTTAACAATAACATGAAATGGAGACTGAACGTTAAACTCTTGAAGTCTACACATATGTATATTTACTTCAGCATATTCAATAAATATTTATCTTAATTATACTTTAAAAATCAGATATATGTATATATGCTTTTAATTTGCTAATCTTTTTTCTCTAGTGCAACATATGCACATATTAATTATTCACATAAATACAAAAATATTTATACCAAGTAATCATTCAAACTGCTATATAACATACCATAGTAACAATTGCACATTCTGGAGAAAGCTGGGCCATTTGGAATAAATTACGAATGAACCGATATACTGTTTTCAAATCTGGATCACGTGTAGCATAATCGAAAGGAACTGGCTCATTCTATACAACAAAAAACAATTATTTTAAAATGAAATGAAACTAACATGAAATATTTCAAATAGTTTAGTTTTAATCAGCTAATTGAATGATATATATATATATATATATATATATATATATATATATATATATATATATATACAGTAAAATAAAATTAAGGGTATCATCTTATGAAATTGTATACAATGATGTAACCATTAAAATTGTAAGTGTACAAACTGAAAAGAATTATTTATAAGGATAAAGTTGAAAGTACTGATAAGTTTTTTTAAAGTGAAATAAAATTAAACATTTTGTATGACAGGGTCTAGTCATCGAGACCTAACGATTCTAATCTCCAAACTAACTTCCAGATTTACAGTCTATGGAATCTGGGATGTATTTACTGACATATACACTTTGGTGGGATCATGTACTCTGCGATAGGTGATTTAAATGCTATCTGTTACCAGAATTGTTGGCCACAAATGGTGTTCGTCAGGGTTACCCTTTTTCCCCTTTTATTTAATTCCGTTATTGATATCCTCCTGAAAATGATATTTTCATCCTCTAACTTTCACAGATTAAATTCCCACAACGAAATTTACTTGTCGATTTCGAGTAGTAAATTATGTAGTGAGGTTTGGGGAAGACCATGACAAAGTCCATTCTTCTGAGCAGATTAAGAAACAATGTAAGCAAACTTGAGACGTGTTTCTCTCCCTTTAAATGCGAAATGTTGCTTCAGGACCGGTCTGAGTCAAAGCCTAAATTAATAATGGGGAGTGAATTAATTTGTTGACTACTCCACTCGTCATGGAAGTCTGATGGAATGGTGTCTGATAGAATCTCAGCAAAGATTCAGAAATTTCCATTAGCTTTATCTAACTTATATCACCTTTCTATCAGTTAGCCAAATGGTGAGTTAACTGAGTAGAATTCCGCTGTTTTACTTCATTGGTGTGACAAATACCCATTAAGAAAAGAGGATATTTGTAGGCTGCTAGAAATCAACCATAGGTGTCTTCCAAGCTTCGGTTGTGTAGTGAAGAATAATCGAATGAGTAATGCTAATATGTTAGCCGTAGGGTATAAGATGAAAATTAGAAACCAGTCAATTAGGTTATGAGTCTTCACCAATTGAAGTAGTTGAGACACATATTACTTATGTCTGACCGCCATCTGCCTTCATGGGTGATGTTTGTAGATGTAACGGGAGGCTGGAAGAAAGTTGGAGTTGATCAAACCAAGACGTGGCACCAGTCCACAAAGTCAATGACCGAGTCATGTTGGTAGGTGCATACAACCTGACTTGGTTGTTAACCGAGTAATTTTTGTAACCAGTGTTTAGATGTGGTTTAAAATTGGTTAGAATTATTCAGGTTCATCCACTATTGGTCCTCCATTGGATCCTAATTCTTCTAAATTATCTTAAAACTGTGTTTTATTATTTCATGAATTCCTATTTTCTCGAAACGTATATTCTATGCCTAGTCTTACTTATCACGACTGATACTTACTATTTCTATTATTCATCTTGACAGTTTTACCTTGCCAAGTTAATGTGGTGTGACAATTTGAACCGAAGCACATATGCGTCAGATTCCATGTTGGATTTGACTAACAGTAAGGTTAACCCTAATATACGGACTGTAATTGTTAGTCTTTATATAGAAAAAAAGCTTAAATCGGTAAGTGTAAACTAATCTCTAACTTTTGACATTTAATGCATATAGTTTAAATGAGGTTTCTCGCCACAAAGAATACACGCTACATAAAAACATTTAGTTTAAAAACAGAACATTAAAATGTTTATGACCAATACGATAACTAAAGAAGTGACACGTGTAGAATGGACATTTAATGCAAACAAAAACTACTACTTCATAAACATATATCAAGTACGAATTTTTTAAAGTTTAATTAGAAGATACTTTTCCTCACGAAATAAAGTCAGTTAGGTTGATATAAAAGACAATATTGAATAGATGTTTTACACTTAGCTTTAAACAATTATATAAGTGTTTTGGAGTCTCTTAGAATTATTGTTAAAGAATCGAATTTATTATTATTTTAAAGTGCCATGAAGTTCCATATAGAACTGAACTTTCACCCTGTTACAGTTGCATTATTTACAGGATTATTCGATGGCTATTAAATGGACCTGTTAACATATTTCATCATATTTTCTTGAAATATAAAGCTGTTATAAATTTAAGTCTTCGTTCTTAGTACTTGTGCATACATGCCATCGTTGAAAGGTTATTATGAACCAATTGTTTGATCTACCCGCCACATTACATTCGATCTTGTATTGTTAGTGTCTCTTTGGTCGTTTTAGCAGATCAGAAACGAAATACAGCAGAATCGAACACATCAGGTTTTATGGAAAATGTATTATCACTGACCCACTGAAGAGAAGTATAATGATATGTATTTTACAACTTCTGTTAATTTTAAAATTGGATAAGTCAAACAATTATCAAAAAGTGAAAAAAAACAAATATTATTAATTTCTCATGCAGTGACGCAATAGCAACTCTACTGATGACCAGGAATATGAAACTAGATTTGGAGAACGTGACGTTTTTAATAGTTTTGAATAACAATGAAGCAATCGGTCAGTGCACCCTAGTTTTTAGTGGTTTTTCAACTATGTCAAATTTCGATTGAGACTCAGAACTACAAGATTACAGGCAAAAAAACCTTTAGCTTAGGCAGCCGGATAAAATAACTAGCTCTTATCCGTGACTAATGAGTTACATTAATTAAGTACTTTTAAATCAGAATAAGACGAATTTCTTTACAAACTAAAGATAATGAAAGATCACCTGTATAGGATGTAAAGATTCATCGAATATTTCAATCATAGGATCACAAGCAATTTTATGATTTCTATGCTTAATCTGTAAATAAATTGCCTGAGCTAATGCGCGAACAGTGGATTTAGGATCTGGTCTGGTTACAGTTGAATCATGCAGCCATATAGTTGATGTAGAACTGGAACGATAAAGTAAAGGAATGGTGTTTTGACGAGTTCGTGGAACCTGTAATACAGATAACGAAGAATACACATGTATATATAATATTAAATATTTTGGAGATTATTTATCACACTCAAATGATAACGTTAATTTGGAGGAGAGAAGTAGTTGTTGTAAGTAATATTGAGATTAGTTTAGTCTTTATATCAGCATGTCAGTGTATGAACTATTTTGAATAATTGAATCATTTACACGTACTGATAAAGTAATTTAACAGTTTTAAAGCATCAACTCTTGGAATGGTACTTTGATTGAGAAGTTATAAAATTGGTTGGAATGAGGAAATTGAATAAGCATCGTATAAAGATAAAAGACCCAATATATTTGGACCGAAACGAAGTCAATATAGTGAGCAGTTTGAGCTAGAACATACACAGCTACGAATTTGTCCAAATATATACCCAATTCGACAGTTCAATGTTCATCATCACTAAAAAATATGAGTCTTGACAACCAAGTATATGTCTGTGAACTCTGCCATGAGCTGCACTTTTTATGTAGGGGGTTAGTGATAATAACTAGGTGTTTAAGTTGAGGTATCAGATAAGTAATTTCAAAGTTAATATTCGGACGTTTTATTCACTAACTTACTGATTTATACAAAACTCAAACTAGGATGATACAACTTGAAACCTTTCATCTTCCAAACCTATTCTTACTTCAAGTAACCTAAATCGTTTAGATCAGAAAAAAATACACATAATATGACTTAGCAGTCACACTCATAGAATAAGCATAAACAACAATACGCATCTGTGACGGACGTCTTCACCGTTCTTAATATTATAGCTTACAGCCTACTAAATCTATAGGTGAGGTTACGGTCCTACAGTTTTTTTGTTCTTATGCAGTAGTATAGAGGAGTATGGGAAGAAAATAACTTTTTTGGTCATAAACACAAGTTGATTTTGATGAAAATAAATAACCCAATGAAAAATTTATTATTATGCATCCAACGGTGTTAAGGTCTAACTTCAACTAATCCACGAAATTGAGCGCCGGCTCAGTGGCCTAGTGATTAAGTGCTTGCACGCGAAACCAGTAGGTCCTGGGTTCGAATCCCACAGGGGCGAAGGTCATGGATGCGCACTGCTGAGGAGTCCCACAATAGGACGAAATGGCAGTCTAGTGCTACCAGGTTTTCCATGGTGGTCTAGCTTTAATTGACTCATGATCTTAACCATTGAAATTACTATAATATCCACAAAACCCATCTGATATATGTAAGATGAAAACTATTGAACAAATAAAATATTACATTGTAAAAATCATCAAATATGAAAGTAAACGGTTATTTTCAAATTACAGTAAATTAGAAAAATATATATTCAATCATCAACTTACATTACGATCATATTTAGTTCGAATTTCACGAAGTTCTATGAAAATAAAACAGAAATAATTAAACTAAAAGTAAAAATCATTTTCGATTGAATTTGAAAAAGAATATGTAAACAATGATATTAACAGATGTTATTACTAAGGTTTGATTTGATAATTTCAAATAAATTGAGCATTGAGTAGATTGTTATCAATAAAAATAATCTAGTTGTACTATCCTATTGAATGAAAAAATTAAATTTTTAAATTGTCTGACATTTCGTAACTTAGTGTAAGCCACTTCTTCAGAGAATAAAAAAACTAACTAAATTAACCCAAATTGAAATAGTACAAAGAAATAAACTGAGAATATTTGGTGCAATAAATTAAGAAATCTCTAAAACTGTGCTTAGATTGAACCTTGTTTACTTTGAACGGGACATTATACAAACAAACAAACAAACGGAGTAGCAATGGGATCTCCCCAATTGTAGCCATCCTGTTTATGTCGCATGTAGAATCAAATATTCTCGCCGATGACATTAAACCACGAATTTAGTTCAGATATGTAATTAGATGGTGGTTTGAGGTAGTCGACAGGAAACCCTAGACCCGGGTTTCGTGCTACTTGGCACTCGTCAGCAAGGTGTACCTGTAATCTTTCAGGGAACTGGTGCTCCCTAGCGGATTCGATCCCGTGTCACCCAGCTTCACAGTCAGAGACGTTACCGCTGAGCTATCCGCCAGGGAGCACCAGTTCCCTCAAGATTACAGGTACTCCTTGCTGACGGGTGCTAAGTAACACGAAACTTAGGTCCAGGGTTTCCTGTCGACTACCTCCAACCACCATGTAATCTCACAATAGTGCACGCAGTGTCGAGTCACCTAGACTGGTGGCCACATTGCAACATGGTCGGTAGGATTCGATCTGCACTAATAAGGAATAGACACACATGACATTGATCACCACCCAGTAGTCAATCAATTGTGAGTTCAGATATGTAGATGATACTTTTGTTGCCATGAAAAGGACTCACATAAAATCCTTTTCTAAACTGATCAATACTCTCTCGTTTCACATTAAGGAAAGTGAACACAGTGAGCTGCAAGTTTTAGATTATTTAGTTAAGAGAAATCTAAGTGCAGCTTTAAATCTAACCATCTACCGAAAACCAATACACTCAAGTCATTATATTGACTTTAATTTAACACATCCATTCAGTGCAAAACCCTCTCAAGCCCTAAACCTCTTTAGAAAAGTAAACAAGATTACTATATCTGAAGAGTATAAACAAAACAAATGAAAGAATATGATTAACATCTTACGATTTAATAATTTTCCTATGAAGATTATTAAAAGTGCAATAAAACGAGACGTCTTACTGTTAAATAATAATAATACTAATACTAATACTAATAATAATAATAATAGTAATAGTAATAATAGTAGTAATAGTAGTAATAATAATAATATCTACAAATTAGAATGTGTCGATTGTGGTGCCCTCTATATTGGAGAGTGATCTCGTGAAATCTTGACTCGAACCGAAAAACACCTTAGGTACACAAAGAAACCGTAGAACTGGAAAGAAACAAATTAAATAGGCAATGGCACTTCATACCGTTCTCAATAACCATCAAGTCGCTATTAAAAACATCAAAATAATACAAGGCTTTTCCAACTGCAAAGAAGAGCGAGTAGCATAAGCTTTCCATATGTTGCTTAATTTTACTTTCCTCAATAGAAAAGGAGACCTCACTACCCTCCGACTTCGACCATCTCTTTGAACTACCATGTCTGGTTCTATTCACACCTCACACCCTTATCGTACATACAAGTTCAACTCTCCTTTCACATCACAAATGTCACGTTTTTTCACCCTTTAACATACATACACACAAATATGTAAATATGCCTCATATAAATTATCTTGAAACTCCGTCTAGAGTCCCTCCGAGGGCTACTGCCGGTCCAAAGCCCGGGTAAAGGAGGAGGGTTGGGCATGGGATTAGCGAACCCATCCCGTAGAAAAATAACTCGCTAAAAAACGCTAATCAGAAAAAATTATTCAAACCATTTAAACTCTGCCCTGGGAGTCAGAAGGTCTTCGTTTAGAAGAGTTATGACGCTTCATGATCAAAGACGAGTTCCTTCGGAAGTCACGAGGCCGATGCCCCTTCTGACAACCAGAGCAACCATTTATTTAGGTACATGGAATGCTCGTACAATGTGGGAGACTGGGAGAGTCTTCCAAATTGCTGCAGAAATGAGGAGATACAATTTAGAGGTGCTTGGGATCAGTGAAACACATTGTATGCAAGTTGGACAACAACGACTAGCTTCAGGGGAGCTGCTGTTATACTCTGGAGATGAAGAAAAAATGCCCCACATACACAAGGAGTTGCATTGATGCTGTCCAAACAAGCACAAAATGCACTTATAGGATGGGAATCTCATGGACCAAGGATCATCAAAGCCTCCTTCAAGACAAAGAAAGAGAGCATTTCAATGAACGTCATCCAATGCTAAGCGCCTACCAACGACTACAATGGAGACGCTAAAGATCAATTCTACGATAGGCTGCAGTCAATCGTCGAGAAATGCCCAACAAAGGACCTGATCATTCTGATGGGAGATTTAAATGCCAAGGTTGGAATTGACAACACCGGATATGAAGAGATCATGGGACGACACGGACTGGGAGAGAGGAACGAAAATGGTGAGAGATTCGCAAACCAATGTGCCTTCAGTAAACTGGTCATAGGCCGCACTATATTCCCACATAAACGCATCCACAAAACCACATGAACTTCACCGGATCACACTACGCAAAACCAAATCGACCATATCTGCATCAACACAAAGTTCAGGAGGACAATGGAGGACGTGAGAACCAAGAGAGGAGCTGATATAGCATCAGATCATCACTTGCCGGTCGCCAAGATGAAATTGAAACTCAAGAAGCACTGGACAACGGGGCGGACAATATCACAAAAATTTAATACGGCTCTTCTTCGGGATACTGACAAACTCAATAAATTCAAGATAACCCTCAGCAATACGTTCCAGGCCTTTCATGATCTACTCAATGGAGAAGAAACTGCTATGGAGAGCAACTGGAAAGGGATAAAAAAAAGCAATCACTTCAACATGTCATGAAGTTCTGGGCCAAAAGAAGCACGATCACAAGGATTAGATCACGGTTGATACACTGGATAAGATTCAAGAAAGGAGGAACAAGAAAGCAGCAATCAATACCAGTCGAACAAGAGCAGAAAAAGTCAAGGCACAGGCTGAATACACAGAATTAAACAAGCAAGTGAAAAGGAGCATCAGAACTGACAAACGTAACTATGTGGAAGATCTAGCAATGATGGCGGAAAAGGCTACCAGAGAAGGAAACATGAGACAACTGTATGACACAACAAAGAAACTCTCTGGAAATCACCGTAAACCAGAACGACCAGTGAAAAGCAAGGAAGGCAAGATAATCACCAACATTGAAGAACAACGAAACAGGTGAGTAGAACACTTCAAAGAACTCTTGAATCGACCAGCCCCACTGAACCCACTCAACATCTAAATATCACCCACGGACCTCCCAATCGATGTTGGCTCACCAACAATTGAATAGATTAGCAGGGCCTTCAGTCAAATCAAGAGTGGCAAAGCAGCAGGGCCAGACAACATTCCAGCAGAGACACTGAAAGCAGACGTAGCGGTAACTACAAGGATACTCCACATTCATTTCAGAAAGATTTGGGATGAGGAACATGTACCAAAAGACTGGAAATAAGGACTTCTAGTCAAAATACCAAAGAAAGGCGATCTCAGCAACTGTGATAACTACAGGGACATCACTATTCTTTCAATACCAGGAAAAGTCTTCAACAGGGTATTGTTGAACAGGATGAAGGACTCCGTAGACGCCCAACTTCGCGACCAACAGTCAAGATTCCGTAAGGATAGATCGTGTACAGACAAATCGTAACTCTATGGATCATTGTGGAACAATCAATTGAATGAAATTCATCACTCTATATCAACTTCATTGACTACGAAAAAGCATTTGATAGCATGGACAGAACAACCCTATGGAAGCTTCTTCGACACTACGGCGTGCCTCAGAAGATAGTCAATATCATACAGAATTCCTATGATGGATTAAACTGCAAAATCGTGCATGGAGGACAGTTGACAAAGTCGTTCGAAGTAAAGACTGGTGTTAGGCAAGGTTGCTTACTCTCACCCTTTCTCTTTCGCCTGGTGATCGACTGGATCATGAAGACGTCAACATCTGAAGGGAAACACGGGATACAGTGGACATCTAGGATGCAGTTGGATGATCTAGACTTCGCAGATGATCTGGCTCTTCTATCGCAAACGCAACAATAAATGCAGAAGAAGACAACCAGTGTAGCAGCAGCCTCAACAGCAATAGGTCTCAATATACACAAAGGGAAAAGCAAGATTCTTCGATACAACACAACATGTACCAATCCAATCACAATTGACGGAGAAAATTTGGAAGATGTACAGAATCATCGATGAACACGGTGGATCTGATGCAGATGTGAAGGCGCGGATTGGCAAAGCAAGAGCAGCATATCTACAACTGAAGAATATCTGGAACTCAAAACAATTGGCAACCAACGCTAAGGTCAGGATTTTCAATACAAATGTTAAGATAGTTCTACTGTATGGGGCCGAAACCTGGAAAACTACGAAAATCATTATCCAGAAGATACAGATGTTTATTAACAGTTTTCTACACAAAATACTTCGGATCCGTTGGCCGGACACTATTAGCAACAACCTACTGTGGGAGAGAACAAATCAGATCCCAGTGGAGGAAGAAATCAGGAAGAAGCGCTGGAAGTGGATAGGACACACATTGAGGAAAGCACCCAACTGCGTCACAAGACAAGCCCTTACATGGAATCCTCAAGGCCGAATGAGGAGAGGAAGACCAAAGGACACATTACGCCGGGAAATGGAGATAGACATGAGAAAAATGAACAAGAATTGGATGGAACTAGAAAAGAGGGCCCAGGACAGAGTGGGTTGGAGAATGCTGGTCGGCAGCCTATGCTCCATTAGAAGTAACAGGCGTAAGTAAGTAAGTAAGTAAATCCTCTTGACCGGAATAACATGACTTGATCAGAGATGCTTTGATTGATTGCACCAAATATTCTTACTTTGTTCCTTTGTACTATTTAAACTTAGGTTGATTTAATTTGTTTATATGTTCTCTGAAGAAGTGGCTTGATGATATTAACGATTTACGGAAAATTACAATTACAGATTCCAAACATGAAGTGAACAAAATCTAAACACTTTCAATAAAAATGACTGAAAAGAATAACATTTTTAAAGTGCATTGTATGCTTAATTAAATTGGTAATAATCTCCACCTTCACAAACCAATAACTTTGATTTGAATAACTAATCCAACACAGAGTAACACCTTTTTTGAAATAGAGGCTATAGAGAAAAAGTGTTGTGCTGCGTAAATATATCAATCTAGTATTTGTGCTATTAAACAATAACTGAATAGGTAGGCACTTATTTCTATGTGATCCACGCTTGCATCCATTCTCTACTACAGGAAGTGTTGCACAGTTGATGCTTCGTCAAGCCTGTATATTTTTATAAGCGCAGATGACTATAATGATATTTTTCTGATGATGTCCGGCAGTAATAATGTTTTAAGTCTTTTCCGTTCTCTGTAGACTAGATAGATTAAATTATAATGGATTCCGGGGTTTGTTTGTTTCAATGATAAATATATTACACTAAAATAGGTCGATTTTCAATGTGAATTCGGGTTTTAGTCAAATTATCATGAATACGATAGAAGTGGATTAATTTCTTGATACGCTGTGTGTTTATTGAGGAAAGATTTTTTATAAAAACCCGTAAATTATATAAAAAGTTACTAAGTAATTAGTTACTATATCCATAATTACATGCAATTAGTCGTGAAATCAAATCCAAATAGACTAAAGCTTGTAACAAAACGTTAATATCAAACTAATCACTCAAGTTGTTCTAAGAAATGACCGATCAAATTTCAGTTTTAAATATCAAATCTGGAGTGGAACAAGCTCCTAAAAATGGAGAAACAATGAAATAAGGGAAAAGAAAGTATGCGATGAAATTAAGGTCTAGGAAAATTAAAAAGTCAATGTATCTGCCCTTCCAGAAAATATTTGGATTCATCTTACCTACAGCCTCCAACAATCGATCAAAATTATTTTGCGGACCTCAACCACATATTCTTCATCTATGAAGGCAGCTTAAACCAATATTCAATGACCTCATTAAGTGAATTGATTTACTCATAACTAATCTCCTATCGGATTGTATAGTTTCGGTTCAAATAGCTAAGTAGTTGTTTACTGAAGGACATTAATATTTGATCGATTTAGTGGCACATTTATTTAAACACCATGTACCAAGTAACCAAAACAGATGCGGGTTTTACGATAGAGTATAAGTGTATGTTACTTGCTATTCAATAAGTTAACCTTGAATTGAGCATTAAACATTTAGTACAAATCAATTATTTTTTGGTTACTGAAATGGAATATATCACCGACAAATAAACGAATCTCGTTATACTGAGAATATAATTATGTTGTTATGTTAAGCTTATAACGAATACACGCAATGCATTACTTGATAAATAACCTATGGAGGGAAACGAATCCGTTGGCATTATACTTACTGCCTAGAATTGGTGAGGAAGATTTGTAGCTCAGATAGATGATTTTGGTAGAGTGCCTAGAGTCTAAGGAGGAACGTGAACTACATTGTGAGTAGTCTAAACCGGTAAACAATTACTGCAAATTGCTGTTAATTTGATCCTTCTGTAACTTACTTCATATAGGCATTTCACTGAATAAAAAGTAAAGACTGGAAGAATTATACATCAGACATTCATTACGGTTTCTACTATTCCAATTATTCTTAATTAGCGATGTCTCTAGTCAATCAAGATAGACAAATAAAAGTGACAAATTATTGACAGATAGACGTGACATGGGTATAATCAAGTACCAGACGATTGCCTTGAATAATCTAACCCTATAACATTGAACAGCGTTGCACCGTAGATTATGAAATATAGCATTTGTGATAATGATCATGAAACTGATTGATTCCATAAAGGTAAATGAGGCAATATTTCGGCTTCTGATCTTTAGTTTTAAATTTTAATGCATGAATCTCTGCATCGCGACGCTATACAGAATGTGCATTTTATATAATAATTCTACTTGAGTGATAAAATAGGCAAGAGGTGAACGAAATGCACATGACTGACACATAATTATTCTAGCGACCTTACTCATATGATATGAGAAGAAATGAATTCGCATTCATGAAATCTGTCAATTTCTAGTAATTTATGACACCATGCAAATACGTTCGATCAACAAACTGTTCCATCAGGGAGTGTCCTTATAACAGATTTACTCCACAAAGCGTTTCATACATACATACAAACAACGTAAACATATTAAACCTGAAACTAATCATGTAAGTATTTCGCAATACGGGCTGCGATATATTTAATAACAAGGTGTTGCATTTTTAAAATGGAGATTTTGTGGATGGAAGAAAAAAATTAGTAAAATCAGTGCTTTTGTTTTTTTTTTACAAATCTAAAAAGATAGTGAATAATTACGATGTTAAGGCTTTTTCAATCAACTAGTTAGTACAGAACAAAAGTTCGATAAAAATAATACATTGTGCTAAATGATAATACTTAGACAACAAGAATACAGAAAATCAATAAACAGCATGAGTGATCACTACAGTCATTAAGCGTCTTTTTTTAAGCTTGAAGTTTAACATTGTTTTTTATCATTTTCTTTACTCATATAATTAATATACACCTGAAACTTTGTAAACATTACTTTGAAATATACATGTTATGTGAAGGCTAAAGATGTTTTAAACATAAGTAGGTGAGAGCTGAAATCAAAACCTTAATCTAAAAGTTTAATCCATTGAGTTGCGGTACCACGTTGGTCTGCCTCATAATTCTAGGTCTAATTCTAGCCCCTTTTCCTTTCGGATTTTCATTATTATTACAATCATAGTGCAAACGCGTAGCTCATTTAAGTTTCACTTATTTTCATTCCTTTAACTGTTATGGACTAATTGACATACTTCTTTTCATGTATTGATTAGTTCTTGTTAAGATTTTATGACTCAACGACTTTTGAAAAAATAACTGGACATATGTTGTTCGTTCACAAGTGGATGCTTTAAGGTGATACTTTCATAAGATAAAATTATTAACCAATACTGAGTCCACACAGAAAAATCCATCATTAATGTTTTAAAACAATGTACACTAAAGAGACTAAGTTACCAATGACTATAAATCAGTATTAAGTCTTGTGAACATTTTCAGGAAGAGGACTCATCAAAGTCTGCCACAATCATCCAAATATGGGTCACATTTGAATAAATGGAAGAAAACGGGAGTGATAGGATAAAATGAAGTGATGTTTATTAACCAGAATACCATCTGAAGTTGGACATTAGAGAAAGATATCTTACTCTTCATTGATAAAGACAAAATAATAGTAATAAAAAAATTTATAAGTATTAATCAAACGTGTGGAATGTTTACAACAAAGTACAAAACATACTTCTTTCAATATCTTTACTTGAACGTTGCATAAATAATGTTCTTTTAGTTGGATTTAAAGATGGATCAGCTTCAGTATCTAAATAATTGGTTAGGACGAAAACACTACGAGTAAGCTGTTAAATATATAACGCGGTGTAGCACAATCATGTGAATATTCACGACTCAACAAGTAAAAAATTTATTTTTAAATAAACAGCAATAAATTAAGCATAAATAAAAAACGTTTACTTAAATGAGTATTAGATGTTCGGAAATAGTCAATAGGAGGCCATGAACTTATGTTTCATAACTAATGGGACACTTTATAGTTTCAATTACTAAACGTCCATTAGGTTGGCATTAATCTTGCTTGGAGTTGGAACCATATCATTCATTGCTATAGTCGGAAAAATTTTTAAATGATTCCTTAAAGTACTAGATCTTATCATTGAATAAATCAGTCAGTCATAAACCGCGTAGTATGTGGGACACGTGTGTACTGGTTCAAGATGTCCGCGTGACTATCGTAACCACTGGTTGGAAACTGTGTGACATGGCTCAGAATCGATAACAATGGCGTAGGTATATATACTCTCTGTCTTCCCTTAAACTATGAAATTGAAATCGCTTCATATCTTTCCTTCTACGAATTAACTCTTTCTCCCTGTACTATGTCCTTATGTGCAATCTTTCTTTTATATATTACCACCACTACTTTTATGAATCCGGTGTTCATCATGTTGTGCTAATGAGGTATGACAACTTCGACCGATGCATATATGTGCTTGGTCCTACGTTGTAGCTGACTGATTGGTTAACTGGGAGACATCGTCCAAGTTACACAACAAGAACAAATAAACACAACAAACTGCAAAGGAGTTTAAATGATGTATTAGAAATACTAATATGGAAGATTAAACATAGATAATGTTGTTCAACAAGGAAGAATGAAAAGATATGTATGGAGGAATATTGGGACTTGAGACCTAAGGAAAGATAAGGAGTGGATGAACCTGGATCATTCTAACCAATTTTAGACCACATCATCCAAAATCTCTAAGCACTGGTTACAAAAATCACCCGGTTACTAAGTCAGGTTGTCTGCACTTACCAACATAACTCAGTTCAATTGTCATTAACTTTGTGGATTGGTGCCACATCTTGGTTTGATCAACTCCAACTTTCTTCCAACCTCCTCTTACATCTACAAACATCACTCATTAAGGCAGATGGCGGTCAGACATACGTAATATGTGTCTCAACTACTTTAGTTGGCGAATATTCTAATCTTTACCTAGTATCCTGCTTCGATCTGGGCATCCGGGCAGTTTCAAAGCCCACACACAAATCAAATGAAATTAAATGACTTCGCCTAGTACTCTATGGCTGAACTCGGCATTACTCACTCGATTATTTCAAAATACGTGACCAATGCTTATAAGATACTTGTGATTTTTTGTTGCACGTTAACACATCAATACCCCGAAATAACTACTGGTCTGTGGGGAGTGGCTCCTTAAGTAATCCACAGAGCAGTATTCCAGCCCTTACACGAATCGAATGATTTGCATGGCGCATATATATTTGGTGTATCCTTGTACCAATGTCTATGTGTTGAAATGAAAAAATAATAGTAATTAGTAAAATAGTCAGGTCATAAATGATTGAAGAACAAGTGACGTACAAGTTAGTTTTCTTCAATCATCTACGATTGTCAACCATATTTATTTTGTGTTTATATTCTGTATCTAAACGAGTTACTTTATTACGTGAGAAATGAGTTTCTCTGGGTTAGTGGTCTTGTCTTTGATTTCAAATCATTTGCAGCCTTAATTCAATAATACTGTTTCATGAACAGCCATCGCTCCGTTATATTTCACAGCATTGAGTTTGTTTATTGAATAGCGTTCTATTCACTGATTTTAGCAATAGAAATATCGCCTCATCAATCATTAAAATCCTTTGTCCACAACAACTTATCGCTTTCTCAGACAATCAGTCAGTGATATAAAATCAACTTATAACATAAATGAGTGTTTACTGAAGTTTCCCGACCGTAGCTGCTACCTTGACGTGGTGGTCGGGCTTGCCTATCGTGATGACCCAACCGAGCTATATTGGCTGGAACTCAAGTTCCTGCAGGTTCTACCATGCCAGGCAGGTCGATTGGAGAACGGTAAGACTAAAAGCAGCAACTCAAGGTCTGAGGGCGAAGTCGTACTGCTGACTGTACAGAGGTGTGACAGCAGTAAGGTGTTTCCCTCGGACAACCAGCATCTGCAGCGATGCTGCCTTCTCACAAGGAAGGAAGGGGTTAGAAAAGGTTGACCCTAAAAATGTCACACCTCACCTTACCCCACGGATTTCCGTCTCCGGCGGTAAGGCCGTTTGAAGAACGGAGCTAACACATTACAAACCTCCCACAAAAAGGCCGTGCGCGACCGGCCTCAAGCAGTTGTCCCTTGGGCTCTGCGGTCACGCACTCAGGTCGCTAAGACCAACACTAATCCGATTTCCTTTTCAGGTCCCCCAAGAAATACCCTTCCACGGTGTGGGCAACCGGGAAGTGATATCAGCCCTCATACCCGTAACAGCACACGAGACCAAGTTGGTCACATTCAAATCCTTCCTACACCTCCTAATTACTCTCTTATCTCCACGACTAACCCTTCTCACGTCCCTTTATCACCTCGCCCCGCTAGTGCGAACGATTCGAGTACGCGGAATGTTATTCCTGGTCTCCTGAAACCACGCTCCAAACTACACGTAGGAGCTTTCAACGTCCGAACACTGTGCCAAATAGGACAACAGGCTTCCTTAGCTAAGACTTTAGAATCTCGCTCCATCGATGTGTGCTGCGTCTCCGAAACGCGCACACAGGATCCTAGTAGTGTCATTCATTTGACTGCACCATGTCTAAGTAACGAACCAACTCGATTTACGCTTCGTGTATCTGGAAGCCCTGATGCTGCATCCCGTGGCCTCGCTGGCGTAGGTATAGCATTGAGTCCTAGGGCAGAACTAGCTCTCTTAGACTGGATCCCAGTAGACAGTCGTTTGTGTGCTGTCCGACTAAACGGAACAGTAAGGATTCGAAAAGATAGGGACACTCGTCGTTGCCTCTTCGTCGTCTCTGCCTACTCTCCCACTGACTGCAGCTCAGATGATGTAAAAGATGAGTTTTACAGAAAGCTTTCCGGCCTTCTCCGAAAAGCTAGGCGTTCAGATGTAGTAATAGTGGCTGGTGACTTTAATGCTCAAGTAGGTAAACTAAGCGAAAAGGAAAGACACCTGGGTGGATCTTATGGTGTCGCGGCTCAAAGAACAGATAACGGCGACCGTCTGTTGCAGCTATGCTCAGATAACCGCCTGTTTCTTGCAAACACTAACTTTAAGCATAAGGAAAAACATCTTTTGACATGGCAACCCCCTAATTCGTCCCAACGTTGGACCCAAATAGATCACATCGCTATCAGCCACCGATGGAGGGGCTCGATAGAAGACTGTCGCTCATTCTGGAGCACATGCTTAGACTCAGATCATGCTCTAGTGAGAGCGCGTATTTGTCTACGTCTTACTGGACGTAGGAAACATGCTGCAAGGAAACCCCTTAGGGTCCTACTTAATGATAGTCAAGCTAAGAGTATATTTCAGGAACAACTAGAAAAACAGTTAGACAGCCATGTAAGTGATGCCCACTCCGAAGAAGCGTGGAATGACATCCGAAAAGCTGTAGAAACAGCAGTGATGTCTGCAAGTACGGTAAACCATAAGATTAGGGAGAAACACTGGATCCCAGCAGCGTCTACCGCACTGATAGATGCTCGAAAACTCATTCCATCTGGCTCTGAACATAACGAAGAGCGGAGTCAGCTTAAGCGTAAGCTGACTAGAAGCCTACGCATAGATCGTGAACAGTGGTGGGTAGCGAAAGCAAGAGAGATGGAAAAGGCAGCGGCAATAGGTAACAGCAGGCAACTGTTCAGACTTGTTAAGGAAACCGGTATTAGGAACCCAACTGTTAGCGAAACAATCGCAGAGAAAGATGGACATATTGTTCATTCTCAATCCAGGAGACTGGATCGATGGGCAGAACACTTTAGGGATCAGTTCAACTGGCCTTCAGCCACACTTCGGTTTCCCACGATCCCCAGTCGACCTGAATGGCAAGTTGATGTAAGTCCTCCGACTCTTTACGAAGTTGAAAAAGCTATAGGAAATCTGAAGCGTGGGAGAGCAGCAGGCCCTGACAGGTTTACCCCTGAGATTTTTAAGGATGGCGGTCCAGTATTTGCAGCGAGATTGACTGAGGTCTTAGGTAGAATCTGGGAACTGGACGTAATCCCATCTGACTGGTCTCAATCACTGATTGTACCAGTCTATAAGAAAGGACAAAAGTCCTCCTGTGACAATCACAGAGGAATTAGTTTGACTAATATAGTGTCTAAAATATTAGCTTCAATAATACTTCGACGTCTAACCAAAGCTCGTGAAGAGCAGACTAGAGAAAACCAGGCTGGTTTTCGACCTGGACGTGGTTGCATTGATCAAATATTCACATTACGTCAGGTCCTAGAACATAGACACACATTCAGACGTCCCACAATGGTAGTATTTCTCGACCTTAAGGCGGCATTTGACTCTGTTGATCGTAAGGTTCTATGGCAATGTTTGTCACTGAAGGGAGTACCAAAGAAGTACGTCAACCTTATAAAGGCTCTCTACTCGAACACAACTGGTCGAGTGAGAGCTTATGGTGAACTGTCATCAGAAGTGATTACCTCAAGTGGTGTTCGTCAGGGCTGTCCACTCTCTCCATTCTTGTTTAACTTTGTCGTTGACGTCCTTTTAGAGATGACACTTTCCTCATCTAAATTTCCAGGAGTTGAACTTCTACCGGGAGATCCACTTGTTGACTTAGAATATGCCGATGACATAGTTCTATTTGGTGAAGACGCTGACAGAATGCAGAGTCTGTTGACCACTCTAAGCAACAATGCAAGCCTATTCGGCATGCGATTCTCTCCCTCGAAATGCAAAATGTTACTTCAGGATTGGGTTGCGTCGACACCCGGACTAGTGATAGGGAGTGAAGTAGTTGAGCGTGTCGACCGCTTCACTTATCTCGGAAGTCTCATCAGCCCTTGTGGTTTGGTGTGTGACGAAATCTCAGCACGGATACAAAAGGCTCGACTAGCTTTTGCCAACTTGCGTCATTTATGGCGTAGGCGAGATATCCGTCTATCAACGGAAGGACGTGTTTACTAGACAGCAGTTCGTTCCGTCCTACTTTATGGCAGTGAAACACGGCCGGTAAGAGTAGAGGATATTCGTAGGTTACTAGTATTTGACCATAGATGTCTTCGAAGCATTGCTCGTATATCCTGGGACCACCGAGTAAGTAACTCAGTTGTTAGGAAACGGGTACTAGGTAAGGATGGAAAATCAATTGAGGAAGTAGTGAAACTCAATCATTTGAGATGGCTGGGACATGTGTTGCGCATGCCCGACCACCGACTGCCCCGACGTGCTATGTTTTATGGTGTAGGAGTAGGTTGGAAGAAAGGTAGGGGCGGCCAGACCAAAACATGGCACAAATCCATGAAGTCACTGACAAGTGGACTGAGTCATGTTGGTAGGTGTAGACTACCTGGTTGGGGACCGCGAGACGATAGCAACCGATGGTTAGAGACCTTGAATGACATGGCTCAAAATCGTTTGCAATGGCGCAGGTGCATCCGCTCTTTGTGTTCTCTCAAACTCTAATCTTCTGAATTCTTCATGTCCTTTATTTTCTTTCCCAATTTATTCCACTGGACTATACTCCTTTAATAACATCATCAAACCTTAATGTCCCCTATCTCTACTTATACTTTCAGTACCTCTACCACTATGGGATTTGAATCGATAACTGAATCTCTGTGCTAATGTGGTATGGCAACTCGAACTGATGTACGTACGTACGAAGTTCCACGTTGTTACTGACTGACTGACTGACTGACTTACTGAAGTTTGAGTAAAAACGAATAGGTATTAAAAAGTATATCAGATTATTGCTTCAACACATAAAAATGCAAACTATCAGCCTACACACATAATAAAGGCAATTCGTAATTAATATTTAGAGCATAAAACGTTATAACCAAACAGCTGTAATATCTAGCATTATGTCAAGCCGACATGGGTTGCTCTAGCTTCCGGACAGGACAGTTTACTTGTCATTCTAAAGTCACACTTTAACCTTGTCGGTTATTCACTTAAAAACTTGACCGCCTTTGTATGAGCGTGTGTACCGCTTACAACATTCATCACGTCATTAGCTTATTTTCGTCTCATTAGAAATATTGATTTACGCTTTATCAAATGAAGTTGACGCGCTTGTCTTTTTCGATCTGCTTCTCCATTTCGTTTCTCTGATTGTCCGTGTGGGACGAGTTTATGAAATATACATATCCAAAATTCATGCATATATTTGGCTTATTTGATTCCGCTATTCACTAACGCGAATTGATAATTATATACGAGGGTAGCCGGGATGTATATTTTATTAACATCATCGTTCGACCAAATTGGAGTCAAATGAGTGTGCCACCAAACATCAACTAACAAATTAACTTGGTACTTTAATTATGAAAACTTATCATCTACCGAAAGACTTACCATCTGGTTCTCTCTCTGAGATATGCTGTAAGTTTGAAGTGCTTGATTGTGTGTAAACTGAGGAAAGCATGAAGTCTGAAGGTTCAGTGCTCATACCAAAGTCCCCTTGTGTTCGATAAGAAAAGTCTCTCATCCCCTGTATATCTCCTGGAGGAGCTGGACCATTGTGTCCCGCTCTAGAAATGCGACTATCTGAACGATGATAAGGATGAGAATTATTTATATGTGAAGGATCATTTGATAAAGAACGATAACCAGATATACCATCCTTGGCACATTCCGAGTGATAACCTGATTGTGATTTTCCTACATGACCAACATGATTAGGAACAGCAGATCCATAATTGATGGCATTTGTCTCACCCATCGGTTTGTCGTGAGACTTCCAAACACAACAAGCACAAAAGTTTCCCATTTTTAGTTTGTATTTTAAGCTAAACACATAGAAGACGTAGGTACTACTAACTCATTGTTCGAACAAAAGACAGGCTGAAAATTTTCAAAAAAACATGAGTTTATTTATATGTCTATATTATAAACACATTAAATTCAGCATAAAAAATACTGTCTTATACCTAAAAGTAAGTCAGAATACTAGTAAACATTATTCCTTATTCGTCAACGCATACTTGTTTACTGGATTGGACCAAATTTAACCAAAGCATAAACAGTCAGACACCTAACAGTTAGTTGTTCAGGTTGTTGCTGCTTTATACTATAATTCACAACAATCAAGATGAAGAAATTTCGGATGTAATTTAAATAGAGAAAACGTATGTTTTTACAATGTTATTTTGCAGAATACACAATTTCGTACCTTATACAGTATCCTTAATCCGAAATATGGTTAGCAAAGAAACATGTTTATGCTAATTACGTAACGGAAGAAATACAAACTGAATGAGTAAGTTATTGTAACGGCTTTTACGCACAAAACATTTCACGAATAAATTACCCAAGGATTGAAAGTCCACAACGACTATGACTTGTTGGGGTACAGAGTCGTGCATGAAATGTGTTAGTAAAAACTGTAGCCTTCTAGTGATTGCAGTGACTGAAGGATGTGCTTAATATCATGATCCATACCCTGACAGAATGTGGATTGCTGCCTAGAGTACTACTGGATCTGGAAAATGCTGTGAAGAGACTTCATAAATACATTGATTCATGCAGTTACTGACTAAGTTTAAGCCATTTTAGCAATGTGGACTTAATTACTAAAGATATCCTAGGTATCATAGCTCAAAATGTATAAATGGTGTGCGTGGTTTTATTCCTTAACTCGTTTAGTATCTTAAAAATCTAAGTCATCAACATTTGCTCACTTCATATAGACCAAGAACCTTCATAACTCTAGTATAATCACTTGTTAATTTCTTCTTTATGTGGCATCATGAAATTTAAGAATATCAACATACTTTGTGCAACCTTATGTCAGTGCGGCTAATATCTTGAACCAATGCTTAATACATGCCTTACCCCGAGTTTCATTCAATTAATACACATAAAACACGCCTGATTTGCATCAGTTGATGGAGGTTATAAAGTATCAAATGATCTACCGACATACTCTTGAATACGGTGGTCTTGAGCGCTGTCAGAGGTATGAGGGCAGTTATCACTTTCCGGTTGCCCACATCGTGGAAGGGTTCTTTTACCTGAAAATGAAATTGAGTTAGAGTTGGTCTTAGTGACCTGAGAGTGTGACCGCAGTGCCCAAGAGATAAGTGCTAGAGGTCGGTCACATGCGACCATTTTGTGGGTAATTTTTGTGTTAGCTCCATACATGTTGAGAACTTGCCTCCGGAGACGGATATATGTGAGACAAAGTGAGGTGTGGATTTTCAGGGTCGACCTTTTCTAATCCCACCCTTCCTTTGTGGGAGTGCAGCATCGCTGTTATGCTGGTCGTCTGAAGGAAACACCATACTGCCAGCACACCTCTGCACAGTCAGTAATACAACTTCGCCCTCGGACCTTGGTTTTGCTGCCTTTAGTCTTACAGCTCTTCAACCGACCTATCTAGCATGGTGGGACCTTGAGTAACGATTGTTCCAATCAATATAGCTTGATTGGTTCATCATGACAGACAAGCTTGACCGCCACGTCAAGGTAGCAGCAACGGTTGGAGAATTCAAAGCCGCTAACAGAGAGTGGTCTTGTCCAACTTCGGTCTTACAGTCTCCCCCCGTCTTCATACGCTAATCAAAATAACTGAGATGGGTGATTACTTCTTATCCACAAAATATTTTGATTAATTTATTGTATCTGGGATAGTCAGTTAGCTGGTCAAATTCAACTAAGAATCCCGGGTGAGTATTACTGTTTTAATTTACCATTGTTATCGTCGCAGGAAAAATCACCGAGATGTAGTGAATAAAATACAGGATATAAAGTGCAATTAATCTAAGCATGAATACAATTTACAAGCCACAAACGAAAAATTAAGAATCAAAACTATGAAATGACACCAAACTAAAGATTAAGATGAATTATAAATACAACTGTTCAGCGGGATTGTGTTATCCGACGGCTTGAAACATTCGCAGTTTAGACCAGTGGTATTTCAAGCTTTAAACTGTTGTGTAGACCAGGAGACAGAATAAGGACTTGAAGAAAGGTGTTATATTGAGAAACAAGTAGAACAGGATTTTAAAGACCAATTAAACTGGAACACAATACAAGGCGGGAATATTAGGAGAAAAATCAGCCGCCAATCGACACTTTTTTGCTGAACGATACACGAAAAAAAACAGTTTCAGTAAAAATAATGCAACCATAAGGACATATGTATCTTTAAATCTAACACGTAGATAAGTCTATAGTGACCCAGAAACGCGGTGCACTTTGGTAATAAAGTTCTAAGCCTGCCACCTCACACACCTCGTAACTCAGTAGTAAAGCCTTCACCTCTAGTAATTATACAAACCACATGCTTCACTCGCTGTGTCGATAACCTTGTTATTATGATCACCGTTTAGTATTTACACAAAATAGCACATATGAAGATACTGACGTACTAGGTAGTCGAATTTAAAATGAACGAGCTTACAACTAAAAATTTCCTTGCATTAAATACATAAATCAAGTTGCAAGTTACCCATGAGCCCGAAGACCTTGAGATTCATAATAGCCAGATTTCTGCACCAGAAACATAACCTTCAATCTTCTCTATAGAAAAGAAAAGAATAATAAGTCTTTAATTGTAAGGATAAGACGTTAGTGGACTTATATTGATCTCGTAACCTGCGGTAAGGCGATGTAATTAGATTTAGGCGTGTCAGTCGGCTTTCATAAGATAAGCCAGAGAGAGCTTTTGCCATTTTGGTCCATCGCCGTTCTAGCCTATCCGCTTCAGATTTGGAACGAGGACTCAATGCTTTGTGACGGTAAATAATTCCCCAAAATAAATAGCTCTGTAAGTTTTCGACATTGGATGCTGATCACATTAGTTTTGATGGACTCATCTAGCTGAAGGCGCTTGGTCAAGCATCCGCACCAGATCACATGTGGGAACGCCGTGCTCAACATCTACCGCAATCGCTTGCCAGATTAGTACAAACCATCCTCGATATATTGATAGCTTATCAAATATATCTTCGATCTCCTCGCTTTTGTCTTTTGATTTCACTTGGTGGGTGCGCTTCATATTAGAAGGTGTTACTGATTAAAGCGTTGTCAAACTCCGAATACCTGTGGCATCTTCATTGGTGAGCCCGACGTGATCTGGTACACCAAATTGCAATCTGGGAGTCTGTTCCTTTCTGTGATTTTATATATTATTGTCTTATTCTAATTTTTTATACATCGTGATATTTTTTCCCACGTTCTTGGATATATATATATTTCCCACTCGTTTATTTTCGTACTTGATATATTAATATGACTGAACAGACACCTAAAGTATTTAAGTTAAAGACTGTGTCCTCACCTTCCTTCCAACTTATGCCTTTCTAACCAGAAAACATCGAAGCCTGGTTTCGCTACGCAGAAGCCGACTTCTAGGAGCACGGTGTAAACGATACACATGCACAATTCCTCGCAGTAGTCAAGGCACTACCATGCGAATTCAACAGGTACGTAACACCTAGTATGTTTACTAGTGATGTTTCTGACCCATACCAAACCTTCAAACATGCCATCCTTAAACGCGGAGGTCTAACCAATCGGCAAAGGTTAGACCGACTCCTTAACAACATCGATCTGCAACACGGCTCTGCCACAGACACGTTGCAAAAAATGAGAGAAGTCATTGGGCAAAGAACCTTCGATGATGGCCTATTCAAACAGCTTTTCTTATCAAAACTTCCTCAACAGGTGCAAGCTGTGCTGGTCTCGTCCCAAAACAACGCCTTAGACGAGCTGGCTGCATCTGCCGACCGCATCCTCGAAATCACTGGATATTCTAACACCGAGGGTTTTTCAGTCAAAGAAAAGCCTCAAATCACCCAGAATGACACAACAGAATTATGTCATACACTTACTCGTTATCTCAAACTCCGTAACGACTGTAAACGGTCACTAACCCCTCGAAGAAACTCATCACGTAGGCGGATGTTTCTACGCCAATCATCGGTATGGACCTTCTATAACACCACAACTTAATTATCGATACGCGCAAACGAAGGCTAGTAGATGGAAATACTAAGTTGTCTGTTTGACTGACTTCTTTTTCTGGTTGCAGGTTATCTCCAGTCACTATTAAGCACACTATAGACCCCTTCTACCAACTACTACTCGATAAATATTCTGGCATTTACCAATCGCAACCGAAATTGCCGTGTGTAACCGGCAACGTTACACATCACATCACGACTACAGGACCACCTGTATTCTCTAAAGCACGCCGACTGGCCCCCGAAAAGTGAAGGTTGGCGAAAAACGAATTCGACCATATGATAGACTTAGGAATCATACGACCGTCAAATAGCCCATGGGCATCTCCGTTGCACATGGTCCCTAAAAAGGACAGCAATGATTGGCGTCCAACTGGTGATTATCGGCGATTGAATGCAAAACCATTCCCGATCGTTACCCGTTGCCTCACATTCACGATTTGACAGCTACCTTGGAAGGTGCAACTGTCTTTTCAAAAATCGACTTGGTTAAAGCGTATAACCGAAGTCCTATGGCCACTGAAGACATTCCAAAAACCGCTATTATAACGCCCTTCAGACTCTATGAATTTTTGCGAATACCTTTCGGTCTAAGAAACGCGGCACAGACTTTTCAAAGGTTCATAGATGACGTTTTTCGAGGTCTCGACTTCGTACATGCGTATGTTGATGACTGCCTGATAGCAAGTCCGGACAGAGAATCACATCTCCAGCATCTGAACCTTGTTTTCGACAGACTACAAAGACATATCATTACTGTAAACATTCAGAATTACCAAATCGGAACCGACTCCTTAGACTTCTTAGGACACATCATAGATGCGCAAGGCATCCGACCCCATAGAACAAAAGTTGCGGCCATTCCGGATTACCCAGAACCGACCACCATCAGGCAATTGCACACGTTTAACGGTCTGGTAAGTTTTTATAGACGATTCATACCAAAATGCGCGTTACTTATGAAACCTCTTACCAACCAACTTCGTGGAAATATGAAATCCATCAATCTGGATGACACTGCACGAAAAGCATTCTCCACGGTTAAGGAACATATCGCTCAAGCAACTATGCTTGCTCATCAGGACCCTGAAGCGCCCATTAGTATTGCAGTAGACGCATCCGATTCAGCAATCGGAGCAGTCTTACAACAATGGGTTGACCACTCCTGGAAACCTTTGGCATTTTTCTCTACACGGTTGTCAGACACTGAATCGAGGCACAACACATTCGGTAGGGAACTCTTAGCTATGTATTGTGCTGTCCGGCATTTTCAACACTATATCGAAGGCCGTGAATTCACCATTTTTACCGACCACAAACCACTTACTTTCTCTTTAAGCTCATCTTCAGACAAGTACTCACCACGTGAGTCTCGAAAACTGGACTACATTTCGCAGTTTACCTCAGATATTCGACACATTTCTGGAGCACACAACGCCTTGTCTCGTATAAATTCCTTGAACAGTTTCCAAGGAATCGACCTTTCAAAACTCGGCCAACTTCAAAAAGAAGACAGTGATCTTCAGCACGAGTTTTCCTCAACAACACCTAAACTGCGAATCGAACAGATGGGAACAGGTAAGGAAACCTTACTTTGCGACACATCTACATGTAGGGATCGCCCAATCGTGCCGAAACAATATCGGCGCAGCGTCTTCAATACGTTGCACAGACTTTCTCATCCAGGTGTTCGCGCAACCATCAAGCTTATAGCAGAACGGCTTTGCTGGCCTGGTATGAATGGAGCCGTGAGGGAGTGGGCACGCTCCTGTGTAAGCTGCCAGAAATCTAAGGTGACTAGACATAACAAATGTCCCTTAGGCTCGTTTAAAACTCCCGATGCTCGCTTTGAGTACGTTCATTTAGATTTGGTAGGACCTTTACCAGATTCAAATGGATAGTCTTATCTTTTAACATGCGTAGACCGTTTTACTCGATGGCCAGAAGCAGTACCCATCAAGGATATTACTGCTGAAACAGTGGCCCGCACATTCGTCGAACGATGGGTAGCAAATTTTGGGTGCCCAACAACCATCACTACAGATCGTGGACGTCAGTTTGAATCTGAACTTTTCCGTTGTCTGACCGCAATATTAGGAATCACTCACTTCCAAACGACCGCCTACCACCCACAAACAAACGGGTTAGTAGAACGTTTTCACTGACAACTAAAAGCGTCACTATCAGCCTCAAACATTTCTCAGTGGACTGACGTTCTCCCACTCGTCTTACTAGGCATACGCAATGCAGTGAAAGCTGACATTCGATACACTGCGTCTCAAATCGTTTATGGTACGACCCTTCGACTTCCAGGAGAGTTCGTGGATCCTTCATCCTCTTCGATGAACATGGATCTAACCTCCTACACGGACAGGCTTACAAACGCAATGCGTTCAGTTAAACCTGTTTCCACTACACCTCAATCAACTGATGTTTTCGTTCAACCTGACTTACGACATAGTACACACATCTTCGTACGTCGAGACTCGCATCGACGACCTCTCGAATCAGCATAAGAAGGACCTTTCAAAGTTCTTCAACGCAGATCTAAGTACTATATAATCGATAAGGACGGAACCAACGAAAGCATCAGCATCGATTGCCTCAAAGCAGCGTAGAAGGAAATCCTATTCACGTGAATTTCCCTTCAATACAATCACACTACACAACTCCTGCACTTATAATACCTCAATCGACAGCCGACACACACGTTGATACTTCAACAGTATTCAAAAATAAACTCAAAACAACGCGTTCTGGAAGAAGAGTAAGATTTCCAGAACATTTGAACGATTACTACATGTAAGATACAAGTTAACATTTTATACCATCTCGATTTTCCCCTGTACTATATATAATTTTTTTTTAAAAACCCAAATTTATAATGCATATATATTTTTATTATTTTTTATTTCAAAAAAGATAAAACAAAAGAAAACGATATTATAAAAATCCTTTTTTTACGCTATTACGTGAGGATGGGTTTGTTTTCCTTTTTCTTTGCCCGTTTTGTGTTTCCACGCGCGTACGTGTGTATTCCGACATGCACTTACATATTTTTCTTTTCTTTTCCAGGACAACTGGAAAAGACGATGAAAAGAATGATGAAGCTGCGAGAAACGAAAATCTGCATTGTACCCTTTTTTACTATATTTTACATCCTGGTCCATTATAGTAAGGAAAGACGACCAGACGCTGTTAAACCTAGCAAGCTATCAGAAAAGTGTTTACCAACGAAAAATTAGTTGGGTTTAAACTTCTGGCTGGCCAAGTCTTAGGGTCATCACTACCCTACTAGTGGGGAGTGATCTGTAGCGGTCAATAATTCCCCAAAATAAATAGCTCTGTAAGTTTTCGACATTGGATGCTGATCACATTAGTTTTGATGGACTCATCTAGCTGAAGGCGCTTGGTCAAGCATCCGCACCAGATCACATGTGGGAACGCCGTGCTCAACATCTACCGCAATCGCTTGCCAGATTAGTACAAACCATCCTCGATATATTGATAGCTTATCAAATATATCTTCGATCTCCTCGCTTTTGTCTTTTGATTTCACTTGGTGGGTGCGCTTCATATTAGAAGGTGTTACTGATTAAAGCGTTGTCAAACTCCGAATACCTGTGGCATCTTCATTGGTGAGCCCGACGTGATCTGGTACACCAAATTGCAATCTGGGAGTCTGTTCCTTTCTGTGATTTTATATATTATTGTCTTATTCTAATTTTT